TCATTTCGAGGGAGATATTTTGATTTCCATAACTGAGACCACCATTTATGTTGTTCATTTAAATATCTCCAAGCTAATTTTTTTAAGAAAAACCAAATTTACTAATTTAATTTCCCTAAAACCAAGACCTCCATGCGACTTTGGCTAGGTTAATTTTGACCAAGAACACTAGTGGTAAGGATGAGATTTTGTGGAGGATTTACCCCACCAAAAATTCTTAATGATACTCTCTATGGCTGAAGTTGTTTTTTGAGGCAATTGGGCTACAGTCATAACATGATTTGGAACAGATTGGAGCATTGATTGAATGAGAATACATTTTCTAGCTTGACTAATGGCTGAAGCTTTCCAATTGCTAAGTTTTTTCCTAAGAGTATCCAAGATGAAGGAGAGCTGACTGTGTTTATTTCGACCCCAAATTAAAGGAAGCCCTAGATATCTTGAATTATCTAAGAGATTCTTCATTCGAAGCTGTCTTCGAGAATTATTTTGAAAAAGTTGAAGAATTCCTTTGAGAATGTCTATTTCCTCTCAATGGCTTCTCATAAAGAGAAGGATGTCATCAACAAAAAGAATATGGGAGATGGAGGGTGCTGTGGAGGAAATTTTGATTCCTTGAACTTGATTGTTCTATTCAGCTTTATGGATCAAACGGCTAAGGCACTCCATAGCTAGAATAAAAAGGTAAGGGGATAAAGGATCGCCTTGCCTAAGACCTTTAGAGGGAATGAATTTTCCTTCTGTTGATCCGTTTAAGAGAATGGAATAAGAGACAAAAGAAATACATTCAACAATAATTTCACAAAAATTTGGTGATAAGCCAAAGGCTTTTAGAATCGCTGGAAGGAAGGACCACTCAAGTCTATCATAAGCTTTGGCCATATCAAGTTTAATAGCTAAATAGCTACTGCCCCTTTTGTGATGTTTGAGATAATGAAAAACTTCATCAGCAATAATGGTATTATCTACCATTTGACGTCTTGGGATAAAAGTTGATTGGTTCGGGGAGATACATTTATCCAGGATAGTACAGAGTATATTGGCTATAATTTTTGAAATGATCTTATATAAAACATTACAGAGACTGATGGGAAGTCTTGTACTTTAGTACAATTTTCTTTTTTAGGGATAAGACATAAAAAAAGTGTGATTTAACCGTTTCAACAATCTCTTATTTTGGAAAAATTCTTTAGCAAAGTTTACGATTTCAGTGCACATCAGGTCCCATAGGGGAAAAAAGTTCATCCAAGAAGGAAATATTAGACAGGGATTGATGGGAATAAAACTCTAAAAAATAGGAAATGAAAACTTGAGTCATTTCCTTATGCTCAGTTATCCAAGTTCCCTGATCATCTTTGATACCTTGAATATCGTTCCTTTTTTGCCTACAGATGGTACTTTGGTGGAAGTAATGAGTATTTTTATCTCCTAGTGATAGCCAATGTTGTCTTGACCTTTGTCTCCAAAAGCTTTCAATTTGAGATTGGATATTATTATATTGATTGTAAAGAGACATTAACTTATCCTGATCCCAAAGTGTATCTTGTTCCACCGAAACTATAAGAGATTCTAGTTTCTTTAATCTGATTTGGGGATCAGTGAATTTGGTTTTCCTCCAAGTGATTAGCTTCTATTTGATGTAATCCATACGGGAAGAGATCCGGAAGGCAGCATAACCATTTGTAGGACAACCCCAGCCCTTAGTAATTTCACTTCTACAAGAATCTTCTGCTAGCCACACTTCATAGAATCTAAAGGGTTTTGGGAACTGGGTTCTTCTAGGAGATAAATCAATGATTAAGGGATGATGATCAGATTCCCATTTAGCTGCCAGAGATAATGATGCTCTAGGAAAAGCTGTGATCCAATCAGGGGTGGCTAAGGCTCGATCTAAGGTACGGTTGATTAGACCACTTGATCTCTTATTTGACCAGCTAAGTTAGCCACCTTGAATAGTGAGTTCAGATAAGTCTTGTTCTAGAACTAGGTGACGATATTAAGTAGAAGTGGATTTGGCATCTAAACCAAATCGAACTTTGGATTCAACTTCATGACCTCCCTTATGAGATACTGTCTAAAGATATTGGCCGTCCAATCTTCAAAAGCATATGACCCACTCAACAAGTTACTGTTATACAAAACTATATCCGAACCAAAGTTCTTGTAACCATTGACCAACCTTTGAAGATTGGTTCGTTCTTTAGTGCTACCCACTAGGTTGTTTACCGTTATGAAGATCTCGTAGCTACTTGTTACCTCTGTGGAAGAGTAGGTCACTTTTACCGTCGTTGTTCTCAACCTCTCCCTCGTATCTCTGGGCAGACGTATGAACAATTTTTTAATCAATGAGTTATGCATAATCTTGGACCCTAGATGAGAGTAGAACTTCCCATGCGTAGATCCTAGAGACGCCCTACACTTTATGCCTTTGTTCCCAGCCCTTCCCGGAGACAGAATGATAGACCATCCTCTTCGTCTGCACCACCTTCTGACCCTCCTTCCCATACTCATTCTCTACCTACTCCTACTAAGTCAACCATAGTTAGAGTTGTCTCAGCTTTTTCCACCTCTAACCGGTCAGACCAAGCTTCTTCTTCTCTTCAGGTTTCTCCAGAAACTTTCCAGTTGGCTCTACAGACTCAAACTGCCCTTACCTCAGTCTTTTCTGACCCTTCAGAACCTTCCTCGTCTCGAGGCAAGCACCCCAAAATAGACCTCCTTCAGCACCTAGAACTCGAAAACTTGTTAGATCTTCCCACCTATGACCGACCAGATCCTTGCACCTTAAGCAATTAATATGAAAGAATATTATCAATAGTCGGTCGAAATCAAGGCAATGGTAGTTCACTGAATACCCATGAGGTTCTGTCAAAAAACAATAATCCTATAGATACTACAGATCGGCTTTGTTTCTTTCCTTGCTCTCATTTTTCTTCTCTAACAAAGGCAGTGGTGGCTGGCCTTCAACAACCACAAGACCGTCAATGTTGATTGGCAGTAAGGACTAGGAAGTTTGGTGAAACACCATAATCCTGACTTTATCTTCCTCTGTGAAACCAAAATTCCTACTGACAAAATGCAGCTTTTAGCCAATCATTTCCATTACCCTAATTCTTATTTTATTCCTCCTAAAGGAAGAGTAAGAGGATTAGCGGTCTTCTGGAATTCTAATGCAAATGTATCTTTTTTGCTAGCTGACTCAAGGTACGTCTTTCTCAAAATCTCCTCTCCTCTTGTTTTAGGTTATTGGACAATTGGTTTTATTAATGGACCTTCTATTAAAGCACATAGGAATTCCTTATGGTCCTCTCTTCATCAAAACTTATTAACCCCCCAGTTCCATCCTTCAATTGAATTCCGAATACCAATTTGACTTGGAACATTCACATATTATATATCATCAAACGATCAGCCCATCCCTGCCCATGAGTACGCTTCTCTTGCCCATAAAAGCTCATGCCACCAATGCGTGACCGACCCCATTGACCAAGATGGTTTATCAAGGCAAGGTCCTTGAGACCAAAGCCCTTAGGGTTGGTATTTCGATGATTAAACCTTATTGAAGCTTGGATAGTTTAGGAAGCCATTAATATTGCGATCAACTATAGGGATCAACAAATCACCGTAAAAAAGGATTCTAAGATTGTAATCGATTGCCTCAATGGAAGAATCTCACCCTCGTGGAAATTGAAATGCATCATCAAGGAGTGCTGATGCTACTCGATCTTAGGTAGTTCAAGAACTGGGGTCACATTTAGATAATCCTTGCCAACTGGGCGGAGCCGAGGTGGAAGGATGAAGCTGCGCAATGAGATCTGCGAATAAGAAAATGTCAAAGGCCCAAGGATTTATCCCCGGGTAGATACTCTAACGCTCAAGTCAGTTGAAGGTAGTAGGGAGACGGGCTGAGCAGTTGGAGAACAGTGCTGGTCCGAGCAGTATAACGGTATGAGAACTAGAAGTTGGATCCCTTTCCTCGAGTGGGGAGTACCTCTTTATAGCCAAAGATCCATGTCTTGATCGGATTAGGCTTTCGGGGTTGTTGGGATGAGGTTAACTGCCGAGGTTTTTGGGATAAGACCTAATCCCCAACGGGGTTGTCCCCATCCACTCTCCTGTGTTGGTCATGTTTATCCGCCTGACGTGGGGTTGTCGTGGCTGGGGGGATAAGGTAGGGACCACGGAGGTAGCCTGGCGCTAACGTGGCCGAGGTGATTGGGCAGCCATGTGGCGTTTGGAGCCAGCTTGACCATGACTCGAACACCACTCCCCCAGTTTCAAAGTCGAGGAGTAAGGTGCTTGGCGGAAGTGTAGCGTGGAAGAGAGCTTTAGTCCTCGGTTGAAAAACTCGAAGTTGAAGTCTGGTTGAGCATCTGGTCCGGTTCACGTAGGACTTGTCGAAATTCGGAGTCCGCCACCGCTTTCTGGTGCTCATCTGCGGGGTGTGACCGAGGAATTCATCGGCTAAGGAACTTTGACTTCAAAATTCGGAATCCGAATAAGTGCCGGAATTTTGTCGATTATCTTCAACTTAAATATCAAATTCAAGCATGCCTATCATAAAAGTAAATTGAAGTAAATCAAGCAGCTGATTAGTTAGCTTGTAAGGCTCAATTTAGAAAGAGTACAAATGTAAATATATACATTGTAAATACATATAAAACAATACAAAATATAAGATTTTATACTCTACATATTTGCATTTATACTCCGTTATAACTGATTCTAAAGATATAAATAATTAGGATTCGAGTAGAGAGTTAGGTTTTGTGACTTTGTATTTATTTGTGATGCGGATTTAAGGGGAAAGGCTACACCAGTTTGTGTAACTCATCTTTTTCCATCAAAAGATGATTGTCATTTCTCACTTCTCACTTTCTCAGGGTCAACGGTCAAGATTCAAGAGTCAGGACACAGGACAGGCTTAGTAGCATTTTTCTTTCTTTTACCGTACCACCTAAAATGGTGGACAATTCCCTCACTGATTCCAATCTAACGTCAAATTAGTTTTCTCCGCCCGTGTGGGGCCTTTGTTGAATCGCCACCCTTTAGGGTTTCGGGGTTTTTGATTTCAAGGATTAAAAACCTAGCAACTGTACTTCCTTTCTTCTCTAGCGGCTACGGCGGAAGTTGGGGATTCGATCTATTCCCTTCTTCGATCAAGCACAAAGAAATGGTACGCCCTTAGCATCCCTATTCTGTTTTCGTTTTCATTTTCCACTTCTCCTGCACTTGAATCTCTTTCTCCAAATATAAGAAAAGTTTGTTATATTAAAATTTACTTCATTATTTTTTTGATAGATAATTTACTTCATTCAATCTCTTTTGTTCCTCATCTCCTGCAGCTATAAAGAGGAAGATGTCTTTGTTCGTTTTTTTATTTGTTTGTTAGGCAAACGCGATGCTTGGTATCAGTGTCAGTTCTTTATTACACTAATCGAAAGTTTGGAAATACAAGAATGCTTCAATTATTTTTGTATTATTCCAGATGCTAGAGTTACCAAAATTTTAGCTTATCACGGTTCCAGTTGTCCTGATTAATCAGTTCTGGAGCTAAAAAGACTTTTTTTTTTTCTCTCTCTCTCTCTCTCTCTTTTCTTCTGTACAATTCGTTTACTATTTACTTTGTGTATCAATAGTCCCAATATGCATATCAAGCATAAATATCAACGATTTGTAGTAGTTATTTTGATGCTGTTATGACTATACTAAGGCTAAAAAATGTGCAGAATTATACTTTCAGTTATCAAATTTTCTTCTCGTTTCCCTTCTTAAATTGCATGTATGAAGGGATCCCCATAGTAATGGGGGCCAACTTGCTCCAACATCGTGGTTGCGCCTAAAGTTCTTACATTTACCACTCGAAGTTTGAATTTGACAACATTGGGGAGATGCTGATTGCTGGCTACCAGTCTATTTTAGGCTTTTTGAAGTTGTTTTTACCCTAAAAGGCGAAAAGGGTCTATATCGAATTGTTTTATCACAAGAAGTTGTGTCATTAGTGACTTTAACTGAAACATCAGATACAAGGGGCTGCTTGATGTGTGCCTATACAGTAAAGCTGTTTACTTTGCACCTGGGTTATGATACTTAGAATAGATATTGTGGACGGATGACCTTAGTGCTAGCAGTAATGCAGTATGCATGCTTATTTATTTGGTATATTGTTAAGAAACATTGAGTAAGCTGTTGACGGAGTCGTCTTTATAGTACATGTTGATATTGATATAATGGCCCAACATTTCAATATTTTGTATACGTCTTCATGGTCCTTCAAATACTTTTCTGTCTCCCTGATATATATTTTTTTCTCCAGGCACCTAAAAGAGGTGGAAAGGCCCCTGCACCGGCTAAGAAGAAGCCAGTAAGTTGCACAGTTTGTTTTATGGCTAAAGAGTGGAATTTGTCCTTTTTGTTTTCTTTCTTCAGTTTTGGGGTTCTACCATTCCCCCTATTTGGTTGTATTTGGAATTCTTAGTGAACCATCATTTGAATTTTGAGGACCATTTCTTCTTTAAATTTGACACTGATTCAAACACAAACCATTGTTTTAGCCATTTGCTTGATTATAATCATTAGGAGATTTATCCACTATCGTGGAATCTTAATCAGTTCTTTCTTACCATACTGTCCCCCCATTCTTCTCTGGTTGCTTCCTTGTATGTGCATTTATTTGTACAGAATCACACTAAACTATGCATTTTCTATATGAGCTCCAATTGAAGGGCATTCTTACTCTTTTACAGGAAAAGGTAGTTAACCCATTGTTTGAGAAGCGCCCCAAGCAGTTTGGTATTGGTGGTGCATTACCACCAAAAAAGGATCTGCATAGGTTTGTCAAATGGCCAAAAGTTGTCCGTATTCAAAGGCAAAGGAGAATTCTAAAGCAACGATTGAAGGTTCCACCTGCTTTGAACCAATTTACGAAGACACTTGACAAGAATCTTGGTAAGTTTCCTTCTGTTTCCCTTTCTTTTATATTCCCTTCTTTCATCTCTATCTCTTATGTTCTATTCAGAATGCATTGTTCCCAATTACTGCTTTTTAACATGATCAATGTTTATAAACTAGGTGTTGATTTCATGACTATGTACCTGTGTTTAAACAGCTCATCATTATTTGATATTTTTAATGTTATTTTAATTGTTTTAACACCTTACAATGTAGCAACGAGCCTTTTCAAGATGCTACTCAAGTATAGACCTGAGGACAAAGCTGCTAAGAAGGAAAGGCTTCTTAAAAGGGCACAAGCTGAAGCTGAAGGGAAGACCGTTGAGGTAAAGAAGCCCATTGTTGTGAAATATGGCCTCAATCACGTCACCTACCTTATTGAACAGGTATGCTCATTTTGATTGATATTTTTCCACTGCACTTTGCCACTTGTTGATAGGAATGTTGACATGTGTGTTTATTTGCAACACAATATTTAGACATCCTTTCTTACTTGTTTGGTTGGACTGATATTGTGTGTAAAATCATCATTGGGAAGAGTAATTATTTTCAAGTATGTGGTGTGAGGTAAGTTCATTCCAGCAGGGTAGTTTCATGTTCTTTCCTTTTCATTTCTTGTTCAAGCATGAACTAAAGATTACAAGCTTAAACATAAAAAATATGAACTACTTATTACTTTTCTGTGTTTTTTCTGTATGTTCTTTGTCTTCCCACTTAACAATCATTATTCACTTATCAAAAAAAAAAAAAAACATTTTCTGTGGTTTTTCTGTATGTTCTCTGTTTCCTACTTAACATTCATAAATGTGATTTGGATACAAGGATTTGACTTGTACTGCTAGAAAATTGCATGTGCATCACCAAGATGTGGATTTAATTACAGTTTTTTTTTTGTTAATCCGTGCAGAACAAGGCCCAGTTGGTTGTTATTGCTCATGATGTGGATCCAATTGAGCTTGTAGTTTGGTTGCCTGCATTGTGCCGGAAAATGGAGATTCCTTATGCAATTGTGAAGGGGAAATCACGTCTAGGAGCGGTTTGTTTATTTTCCACCTTTACACATAGGAATACCATTACAGCATCTTATGCATGATGCTGGAAAAGGTAAAACTTAAATCAACTAACCATTCTCTTGTTCATTTTATGCAGATTGTTCACAAGAAAACTGCTGCTGCTTTATGCTTAACATCAGTGAAGAATGAAGATAAATTGGAGTTCAGCAAGATTGTGGAGGCAGTAAAGGTGAGAATTACTGAACTTGTACCTAGAGGAGGCGTTTGAACCATTCTTCTAGATATGAGAGATACTTAGGTTTATTTTAAAATATATTGCTGTCTTCTCATAGTTCCAAAATCAAAATCTAACTTATTTTGCTGGTATTTGTTTCTGTTGAAAGTTGTGGATCCAGTATCCTCATAAAAGTTTCAAGGATTTTACCCATGTATTTTGCCTGAAACTTTATATGTGGTATTAAATAAAAAAAAGATTCCATAAATTGAAATTACTATAACTATAACAAATTGTCAAATAAAATGTTTTTTTTTTCGATGTAATTTGTGATATATATCCACGCTTTTATTTGAAGCAGGAAACCGACAGAAAAATAGTATGTCAAAGAATGGCAAGAATTTCTTTTTGTTTTTAATTTTTTTTGGGGATGGGAGAGGCAGGACTGTGTCTCCCTGTAAGTGCTGAAGAATAGTTCTAGCTATAACTAAGTACTTCATGAATTATGATGCCATACCAAATCTAGAATGTATTCCTCCTTGCTAGGCTGGCACCTCCAAGGTTCAAAGTATCTACAAGCTTGGTACTGAAAGTTTTAGCATGGAGCATATAAGCTAATGATACTGCTACCTCTTGTACTTTTGTTCTGCCTGATGATAAAGGATTGCATTACTATAAGGGTTCCTAACATTTAAACTCACAGAAGCCTCCTGCCCACAAAATTGTTTTATATTTACTTTGAACCTTGGGTACCATTAGAGTAGAAAAGCTCCGTTAGAACCTAAAGAAACTTGAATTCATCAATGGCCAATAATTTGATGTGAAATTTGAAGTTTTAGACATCTGAACTTCCTGAAACTGATATGAAGTTATTGTGTCTCTCTAATTTTTCCAGGCCAACTTTAATGACAAGTTTGATGAGCAACGTAAGAAATGGGGAGGTGGCATCATGGGTTCGAAGTCTCAGGCAAGGACTAAGGCGAAGGAGAAGCTCTTGGCCAAGGAAGCAGCTCAAAGGATGTCATGAGCCCATTCAGTTGTTAACCATGGTAGCTAGAACACCTTATGAACTTCATATTATTTGTATGTCCTTATTTGGTTTTGGTTGGGGAAGTTTACATATTTTTTTGTAGCCTTGTTAACAACTTATGTTTTTGGTTCTTGCGCCCATGAGAAATTTTGTATCGTTTTTGTAGCTCAGCAGTAGTAAGCTAAAGCTCCAGACTTCACATTCATGCCAAACAGTAATTAACGAAATTTCACATGTGCCAAATCAATCAGAAAATTAGAACGAAAAACATGAACTACTTGAAAGAAAAACAAGAAGGGACTGCACTGTTTTGTGTGTAGGTGTGGATAGAATTGTTGTGGTTTGTGCCCTAAGGCAGATTGTGACCGTTGGTTTGGTAGATCAAGCAACAAATAAACTCCGTATCCTCTAGGTAATGAGAGGATACTCATCCAATCATGATATGTTGAGCCTCACATGTATAGACCTGATTGGCGTAACGCTATTGTCCCAGTATTACAAGCAAAAACTTCAGACGGTTTAAACTTCAAAGTTCAAATATTCTATCACTTTCAGGCTAACACCTATTTTCGGTGAATCGACCCTGCTGTAAACCATTTATTCTAACTTCAACATGACTGTTCTGTTCTGCTATATGACCATAATTTGGCATGTATTTGTTATCAAGTATTTGATAAATCGTTTGTTGACAATTAGATGCCACTAGGCACCATTAGATACTATATCAGCGGGGCAATGAATATACATTCAATGAATATGATGCAAAAATGTTGATTTGATGATAATTTGGCTGTGTTTTGGTAAATGTATATTACGACCCGTATCAGTCGATACGTATCGTTTCGGGACCCTTTTAATACACCCCTACAGTGGGTGTATTGGGAGTTTGACCGGTTCAGGGGATGGAGGGGTTCTAAACCGGCTCTCCTGAATCAGTTTTGAAAAAACAATAAAAAAAAGGTAAAAAATAAAGTATCGAAACACCCGTACCAGCGTATCATTATTTTGAACCTTGCAACACATTGGTATACACAATGCAAATTATAAGGGGTGCTAGTTGACTTAATTGGTAATGTCTTTGATAGATATTAACAAAAGACCATTGATCCAAGGTTTAAAATTTTGACATGTTATATTCAACATGGGGTGTATCATATCATAGCTTTGAAGGCTTGATACAGGATATGGTGGAAAATATATAGTAAAAATTGCTTGTTTTCTCGCTTGTTGGCTTCGCCATATCTTGCTGGTTTGGTAGATGTTCTGAGCAAGCCTGTGCATTCCGAGGGACTAAAAGTCCTTACGGAACTTGGAAATACTTTACACTGACCCAATTGAGACTGGCCACACCTTGATTAAACAGTGATGATGTGGTCAACCCTGGATACGTGGTTCTTCGATGGGGGCACTAGTCGTCTGAGTGTGTGGTGTGTAGTGGGTGCATCTTTGTGTCTTCTTACTATGAGAAATCAATGAGAAAATAGATGACTCTCGTTCTCATTTTTTTTTTTCCACCATATCATACCCGTATTAGCCATGTACCAAGTTATTGGACAATATGCTACAAAAAGATACATGCATACATCATCATCATTATTGTAAAGATTACCAAGAAAAGTGGTATCAGTTGGTTAAAAGATTCTCATGGAAATTGGGCTCGAGATGCTGATGAGATCTTCTATGGTACGTGAATTTTTTTACAAACTTGTTCACTTCTTCGAACCATAACTTTAAGGATCTTCCTCCCTCCATCATCTCTCATCAGATCTCAAAGGAGATTAATTTTATGCTCTGTGCAATTCCCACCAGCGAGGAGGTTAAGAAAGCTTTATCTGACATCGGCCCTCTTAAGGCCCTCGGTCCAAACGGTATTCATGCTTTGTTTTACCCGACATGCTGGTTAGAAGTTGGACAAGATCTGGTTAAATTTGTACAAGACATTTTCTCAAACCCCACTTTGATCAAGAAGATTAATGTCACTTTTCTTGTTCTTATTCCCAAGAAGGATAATATTCAATATGTGGAGGATCTTTGTCCTATAAGCCTTACGAATGTCACTTATAAAGTTGTGACCTAGATCATCACTCATAGACTTAAGCTTCTCATGGAGTCTCTCATTACAAAATGCTTTATCTCCAGGAAGACGAATCCATGACAATCAAGTCCTTGCAAATGAAACTATTCACACTATGAGGAAAATGAAGGGGCGCAATGGTAGTTTTCTGTTGAATCTCGATTTATTGAAGGTTTATGATAGGGTGGAATGGGACTTACTTCTCTAGAGTCTTCATTTACGTGGTTTCTCTCCTCAATTCTATAAGTTGATTGACGCCTACATTACCTCTTGGTTTTTCTCTATCCTTCTAAATGGATTTCCTGCTTATCCTTTCAAGCCTCAAAGAGGTTTGCGTCAAGGCTGTCCTCTTTCGCCATATCTCTTTATTCTTTACATGAATATTCACTCTAGAGTGCTGATACAAAATGGTCTATTCTCATAGTATGTTTGGTTCAGACAGGAATGAGAATGGAAATTGAGGGTCTGTTTGATTTGAAAGAATAGAGATCTGGAATCGGAATCAGAATGGGCTATTTCCGGTTCCAACTGTTTGGTTGGGCAGAATCGGAATCCCATTCCTATTCCTGTCTGAACCAAACAGACTATGAGAAATGGACCATTCCAATTTCGATTCTGAGTACGAACCAAATGGACCCTGAAATCAGCATGAATAGGATTTCATTCCCAAGAAAGGGATAGGGAATTCATTCTAGTAGAAATGGGAATGAGATTTTAATTCCACCCAATCAAACAGTTGGAATCAGAATTCCGATTCCAGACCCTTTTCCCGCGAACCAAACGAAGCCTAAGTTGCAATCAAAGGAACACCTGGTACATAGTGGTCGGCTTAAGTAGCATATGAAAAATAAGTATTGGGATATCGGTCAATAATTATAGTAGAGCCCCATTATCCATCATCCACTCAGATGCTGTGGTGTAGTGGTTATCACGTTAGTCTTACACACTAAAGGTCCCCAGTTCGATCCTGGGCAGTATCAATTTTCTTTTCCTTTCAACACAGTTAGCACTCAGGAGCTGACGGGTTGACGCGGAAGGCGGAATCATGTACGACGAGTACGCGTACGACTATATGTGGACCGTCGAAGTGTAGAAGAAGATGCATCGTAGGGAAACACTCCCAAGTCCCAACATTATATGGTGCCATGGTGGTAATACGCAACTCGCTCGCCGACTTCGATACCCTTTGTTTCCTTTTCATTCTGATTTTGTGACGCATTGGCATAGGTCCAACACTCACCAGATACAGGACACGTTGCGTGAATCTCAGACCAACACTCACCAGTCCTTAGTCGCCAACAATGGCGGCTCTTTTTCAAATAACTAGGGGTGTCAGAGCCATCTGTTTTTGCAAAAGCAGGGGCAGGCGTCCTAACTCCTAAGGCGGTTTTCGAATTTCACATTCCCATCTCTATGTTTATATATACAAACATTGAAATCACCTCAAACTCTCAAGTCTGAAGTGAGATCGCCTCTTTACTTTTGTCTGAATTCAGAGAGAGAGAGAGAGAGAGAGCAAAGATGGTGACACTGCTGGTAGCTACGACCCTCGATCCGGCTTCCATTGGCCCTGCCTCTGCGCTCTTAGCCATGCCCGGTTGGCAGCCAGGCCCTTCTCTTCAGGTTAGCTACTTATCTCCTCTCGCGCGTAAAAGAAACACCAACCTAGCTGGGTATGCTTTAACTTGCTAAATAATTCATCTTTGCTTTCTACCATTTACTGGCATAGCAGGGGCACAAGCAAAGAATGAGTACCCCCACAGGCCTCAGCATTTTTCTTCTTTTCCTTTGATATTTTTATTTGTTTGTTTCTTGGTTGGGGAGTATAGGTAATTATTGAATTTTATCAAGTACAACGATTGTGTCATTTCCCTCCCAATTCACACGTTAGATTGAGTTGATAGATTTTCCCCCTCTATTCTGCTCGTCTTTTTAGTGGTAGTATAAAATTTTCATTTTTTATCAACCCTAGTCACTGGACATTCTTAATTAATTTATTTCAAAACACGTGATTCTTTTTCTTTTCCTTTTTAAGAGTAAAGGGTTCGAATGAATGCTAATAAGCTGTTCGATCACAAACCTTATTTATTTGATGGGTTGGATTAGGATATACCAAGCTTCGTGAATGGAGAGGTGAGACTATTAAAGCATGACAACGGCATTGTGGCAGAGGATGACCTTGATAAGCGTTGGGAGGAGGCCACCGGTGAGGTGGTGGATGAAATCATGTTCTTTAGCAGGCACACTGCTGTTTCAAACCGCCCTGCCCTCACTGTTCATCCTATCGGTATCATTTTTATTCACTAAAACCTTAGTTTACAATTTCTTCTTGAAATTGTTTCTCATTTCGTTGGTTATGTTCCTTCGCAATTCAATTCTTATCGCTAATGGTGGCTCTAGTTTAATGTACACAACAGAACCATGCTAATTGTGTTGTATGGTTATAATAGTGACCTTTCTTTTCAGGTATACCCCATTTAAGTGAAGGTGATATACCTCCTCAAGGTGGCAAGCCTGGCTGGGCTGCGCTTCCAAGTCCTCGGGTAGGGCCATGGTTGAGGCTTCTAAAGAAAATTGCCGAAACTCATAATTTAATTCCTGAATTTGAGGTATCGTTCCGTCCTATTAATATGATGAAACTCTATTCTTCATCGTTACTCTGCACTTTCCGAAACTCGTAATTTAATTCCTGAATTTGAGGTGTCCTTCCGTCCTATTAATATGATGAAACTCTATTCTTCATCGTTACTCTGTAGTTGGAGAACTGAGATGAATACTAGTTAATAACTTTTTTTTTTTTTCCAGTGGATGTTCCATTCATGCTTTGCCATTACTTGTTAATTTCTGGTTCTGTTTCTGTTTTAACTACTGTAGTGGGTACTTGCTACTTTACATCTATCTATTCTTCTAGATCTCTTTAATGAGATTTCTGACACACATACAGAGCCAATTTGATGATGTTGGTCTGTTGAGAATGTGAGATCAATAATTTCTTCACATTTATTTTGGTTGGGTTTCATATGTTACAAGCTTTCATTGAACAAGTCTTTAACTCTTCCAGTATTAAATTTCTAATGAATAGAGAGAGATTGTGAAGTCTCTTCTCTTTAACCATAAAAGATTTATCTTTAGATTCAGATAATAATTATTCAACCTTAACGTCTACTTCGCTAAAGGTAATCTAGAATGAGTAATGGTTAAGGTGATTTTTTTTTTAATTTTTTTCTGGTTCATCTGTATCTACTAGCACACAAGTTGATTGTACTATAGTGTATATCTTATGGTTTTTGATTAGGACAACCTGATCTTGTATTCTTTAACCACAAAAGGATCTGCCATTAGGTTCAGATGCTATTTTTAACTTTAACGTCTATTTTGCTAAAGCTCATCTAGAATGGAGAATTGTGAAGGTGATTGGTTTTTGGTTAATCTGTATCCTTGGTTGCACCATAGTGTGTATTGTATATTTCTCGATATGGAATCATGTCTAGCTTTGTTAATTATTACGGGCCTTTCAAGATTATGTGATTCCCATGGATTATTTCCTAGCTTCTCTTAATATGCATGTGATGAATGTTTGTCATTTCTTTTAATTTCACCATCTTTTGGTCCAAATCATAAAATGTGGTTATTCTTTTTCCCTTTTCTCTCATTTAGGTTACTCTGGAGGGTACACATCATGGTCCTGTAACCAATTCGCCAACCTTGTTTTTAGAGATTGGTAAACTTCTACTTGTTACACTTTTTATTCAATCAATTATTTGATTATGGTCGTTTCAATATCTTTTTTTTTTTATTAATAATAGTGAATTTTATTAACGGATTGAAAAATTACAAAGCAAAGGAGCTAAAATACATCCAATGTACACCCAAAATGTAAAGCAATTACAACATAGCCCAAAAAATAGAGTTTCTGTTCACCCCTTGCCTAGCTAGACCATCTACCAATGAATTTGCATTTCTTTTTACCCATGTACATTGAATTTCAATGTCCTTAGTCAGCCACTTAAATTTCCTCTTTTCATTGCTGTAATTCCAGAGCCTAGAGTCCTCTTTTAGCCAGTTCACCACAACTTCAGAGTCTCCTTGTATGATCAATTTATTAATATGCATGTCATTGACCCTTTGTACCCCTTCACTGATGTATCTCAGCCCTCAAGGAATCTCCCACCCCAATTGGACTAAAATACATAGCTAACAGGTTCCCTTTTCATCTCTTGTAACTCCCCCTATTCCGGAGGACCCTGGATTGCCCATACTGCTGCCATTGAAATTCAGTTTAGTAAAACCGTGAGGTGGAGGGGTTCAACAAGAACTTGAAACCTTCTTAGCTGAAGCTGATACTACAATCTCCTACCAAACTTCTCTCCTTATCTGAAAGTTTTCAACCAATGTATCACCCTAATATGAATGACCTCTAATATTACTTCCAAGCTTCTCTCCTTATTTGAAAAAATCCGTGAATTTCTCTTTTCCCAAACAGTCCAACAAATTGCAGCCCTAGTACATCTCCACATAATCTTAGCCCTTTTTGTTGGCCAGTTAGGTATGGAAGTGAATAAGCTTTGCACATTTAATGGGCGAGTCCACCTGCACACAAACAGAGAAGTAACCCATTCCCAAATGACTTTAGCAAAACTGATAGGAAATTAGTAAATGGTATCCAGATACACCATCAACTTTACAGAGGACACACCAGTGAGGATACAAACAGCTATTGGGTCTTTTTCTTTGAAGTAAATCTCCTATAATTAACTCTTTCTAGAAAGGTTTTCCAATAGTAACTCCCAACCTTCGGAGGTATAGGTCGACACCACACCTCTTTAACATGGAAGGACAGTCCAACAAAAGAAGGTTGTATTAGACTATTAGGGCTTTAAAGAATGAGGCACAGGTGAAGGAACCCGAGGGAGTGTGTGTCCAAATTCTACTGTTATGATCGTTTCAATATCAGCATGGTTAAACTGTTATGGTTGATAAATTTGTTTCTTCATTTGATAGATAATAAACCATTTATAGTAATTTCCATGACTTTATAACTTTAATAAGAATGCTTTTTTTAATGATGAGATAAAACTGTGCTGTTTCTTTGTCTTGTTACAAGGTTTTTAAAAAGGGCCTACAAAAATTCTAAAATGTTTTTCTTTGAAGTTCCATCTGATTCTCTTTAACTGCAACTTATAATTCATAAATTTTATAACTTAGTTAGGCATTCATGTAGTTGTTTATCGTTATCTTTATCGGTTGTTTGCTACTTCTGCACTCAGAATTCTAGGAGTTTCTCGAGGGAGATTTGTTTTAAGAGTTTTTTTTTCTTTTTACTTGGAGTAGTGTGAGAGGGTCAATACTACGGGTGCAAAAGATATTGTTGGTTGACAATGGCTCTATCTGTACATGAAATTTAAGTGGATTTGCTCCTATACTCGCTGTGGAGATCTTTCTTAAACTCCCAATAAAAATAAACTACATGAAATTGTGGATGTGGGCATCTGATGCAAGACAAAAAATGGGAAAAGGAAGTGTTTGGGGGAGGGGGGAAGGGAAGGAAAAGAATAAACTTTAGATGTCCCTTCTCTTTCTTTTTAAGAGTTACCAACATGTGTAATAAATGATTGAAACAGGTTTCTGAATTTACTTCTCTTCCTTTTCAAGGAATCTCCTTTGGCCATGGAAATTCAAGAAATCAGCTCAAGGCATGTACTATGAGCACAACCTAGCATAGGATATACATAGCAACTAGGGTAGATCACATTTACTTTGTTCCTATATGCTTGCACGTAAGTCTATGGAACTTCTGCAGTTTTCATGTATTGTATATGAACTTTTTATGATCCTTTTACCTTATGTATGAAATTCTTTTGGTTGTTACAGGTAGTACAGAGGAGTATTGGAAAAGGCAGGATGCTGCACAAGCTGTTGCTTTAGTAGGTTTCATAACACTGAATATTTTGAGTATTGATGGGTGGTGTATAACTAATATATCTTTGCATGCTGTCTCTTGGCAAACATAAAATTCTCGTGCATAACAGTATGAACATTAGTAGGAAGGTGCCTTCTTTAATTAAAGGAAGAAAAAAGAAAAGTACAGTCTGTCAACATTTGAAGTCTAATTCCACTTTAGGATAGTTAACTCTCAGTTTGTAGGAAGGTGCCTTCTTTCATAATCTAATTCCAGTTATAGACGTAAAGGTATGTATCCATGTATTCTTTAGTTCTAATAAGAGTATCATGTACAATGCTTTGGTAAACAGAAAAAGTAAAATGTTCCCCTCTTTTGGTTTTCTACCCTCTTCCCACTCTTTTGTTGTCTGCCTCTCTCGCCAAAAAGCCTTAACTACCAGATAGTTGCAGCCTCTCTCTCTCTCTCTCTCTCTCTCTCTCACTCACTCACTTGCTTGCTTGCCAAAAGCCTTAGTTTTTTCTTTTTTAGTGATAAGCAACAGTACAGAGAGCTGAAGTTGTGAAAGAAAAAAATTGGAGCATACTTGATACTTGTACTTTTTGTCAAGTTTAATACATTACTTTACCTCTTTTCTCAAAAAAAAAAAAAATCTGAAAGAAAAAATGCTAAAGATAACAAAAGTGAAGCAGAGTTTGCTGACATTATAACTCTTCTTGCTTTGTACCTTAGTTTATACTTCTTTAATGTTGGCTTTAAGTCACAAATATGATGCTAGCTGACTGTTGTAGAAAAATTAGCATAAACTGGTAGAGTTGCTAAAAAATATGGTAAGATAGCAAAAACAGAAGCATAAACTATAAAATATCATGGGTTGTATTGACTTTATAGCACCAACTAGAAGAGAGAATAGTGTACCTTAGTTTAATTTATACTATCTTTTCTTCTTTCTAGTCATTTTCATTAACAAGTTTTTTGTTTGTGGTTCTTGAAGCTAGTATGGGAAGGACTTGGGCTTGGGGGAGGTGGTTCTGTAGGAAATTGGGTCAGGTATGGTTAATCTAACCAAGTTCCTGTGCAAGGTTTTTTCAGATGCATTTCTAAAGTAATTGTATAGTATAGGAGATGTTTAAATTTCCTTCATTTGTATCATAGGATGCCACTAAGCCATTTTATGTTATAGAGTTATTCATGTTTAATGTTCAATAGTGGTTATGCTATACTTGTTGGATTGACCATGTTTTTTCTCTGACCTCAAAATGTCAGGCCATCTCTTGTCCTGATGAAAAATAGAGGCTCTTTGCTCGTTTCAGTTGCATGTGCAGACTTCAGAGCAGTTCTTCCTTCAAAATTCTGACATTTCTGATGATGCAGGAATGACAATAGAAACAAAGTACTTTTGGGAATAGGTGGTGGACATTATGCACCTCGACATATGGATGTTGTTCAGTAAGTTCTTACCACATGCAACTTTCTGCTGTGCATAATCTTTTCCAAAAATCTGGTTTTTGTATCAATTATATGCTTATGCCAAGAACCAGTTGCGTGGGTTCCAGAAGATGAACACCTGATATGGAGTGGATATGGATGAATACAACGGCTATAGTTTGATTTATTATTTCAGAAGAGGTCGTAAACCTCTGAACTGGGGCTATGCAAAACCCATTATTAGTTCATGTGTTTAAGATACACCTTGTAGTAGCAAATACTAGAGGGAGGCATGCGCTTTGCTTTGCATGTAAAATATGACATTAGACTCCTAATTGTAGTTAGGACATCACCATCTTCATGCATATGCTTTGCTTTGCTTTGATTGTAAAATATGACATTGAGACTCCTAATTGTAGTTAATGCTATCCTTCTCTCTACATTTTCTATTGTGTTATTAAGTAACAATAGGGGCAGTAAGGAATTGAAGGTAAAAATTAGGTTTAAGTTTCTAAATCCATGAAAGTATGAAGGTTTTCTCTTTAATGATTGGATATTTATGTTGGGTTTACTCATCTCATGTTAACGCAGAAGCTCAAACAGAATGGCGCACACACACATCTAAAAAATTATGGATTTTTATCATTCTAATGAGCCAGACACCAAGCCATGACTGCATGCGTGTGAGTTGCATGCGTGTGTACCTTTGTGCAAATGCCATGACATTTTGTGGGACATGTAGTGTGGATGGGTAGTTGGTACTTTCTGCTAACAAAGACTCCTAATGCAATATTTTCAGAAAAGATGGTGTTTGGGTGGGTCACCTTCTTTCTGGATATTCCTTGCCAATGGAAGACCCAGGTCGATCAAAAGGAGAAACTAATGGAAAAGACATTGGAGGAACATGGAAGCAGTCAATTAAAGTAGCACTTGAGGCCACTCAATCAGCTTTTCCAGGTGGAGAAGTAATTGCACATCTGGATCACAAGTAAGTTATTTATATTGACACTCAAGTTGGTTATAAAATGGCATGTACAAGACAACCGAATTTTGATTCTTTTAAAGGCATAAAAATAAAGAGAACACAAGTATGTTCATCCCAATAATTGTATACTCAATGCTTATGCTTCCCACATATGACCGAGGTTCCCAAGATAGAGGTCTAGATCCAATTTGGCATGAGTTCTTGACTATTGATTGGGGCCAAGGTAATATTGATGGTATCAGGATAAAATAGTGTAATATAAAATGTTTTTATTAAAAGGTTTCTTATAGTTTTGTAGATTCTGTTGCTTGAGGCATCAATTTTTAGTGCTCATTTTTAGTAACTTTATCTTAAATTTGGTGAATTGGGGTTCAATTAGTTCTCTGTAATGTATAATTAATTATAGACAAAAAATGGTCAGTTCAGTTAAGGTGGCTAGGTTGTGTAGACGTTTTGGCCTGATGAAGTTAATCAATCTAGAAAACAATTAGGTTTTACTTAAGCAACAAAATAACATTTTTTATGAATAAGAATATATATACATTATTTCAACGTACATTTGTAATAATATATAACTATTTATTACATGCTAATTATAAGCTATTAAGCTACAAAACAAATCAGTAAATGGTTTACTGATCTGATGTCAATTTAAACCAAATTTCAAAAAAAAAAAAATGAATGATAAGAGTTTTTAGCAACCTCCTTGATTCAAAGTGGAAAACGCATGTACAGCAGCGATTAAAGAGCCCTAATTGTTAGAACACGACGGTGAAATAAGAGTCAGAGAAGGCCTAAAATCTCTTAAGAAGTCTGAAGAAAAAAATTGACTGGTAAGTAGGCATTACACCAAATAAGATAGTGGGCAGAAAAATGGCAAAGAAAATGTCTTTCCAAATTTAACACATTCACTATTTCAGGTTTATGTTGCAGAAGAAACAAATAAGAGGGATGGTTGCTGCTCTGGCTACATGGGAGCCCGGATGCACATTGAAAAATAACTCCAACTACGTTCTGTCATTGTGGATTTACCTTTTAAATTTCTATTGTTTGCATCTTGTGAGTTTCCGTGAACAGTTCAGGGTCCAACAGCAACACCATACACCATATTTTTGTTTAGCAACCATAGCTTGCAGTCTGCAGCTAGTGAGCAACAAAAGTTAGTGACACACCATATGCACACACAGACGGGTTCTTGACTTGTTGCTCCCATATGGTGATTTTATAAAATATATTTTGAGTCTTTATCCCTGTACCTATAGTCTATAGGTAATTCTGATTTTTCATGAGATATTTTTGAGATTGTTTTAGATGGTGGCCTGATTTTTGGCTGTTAGAAGCAAATTGATTGTGGGGCTCTTATTCTGATTGGTGGATGCAGGAGCTTCAAAAGCTGGCAGAAAAATGCGATTATGGCTTTCCTTGCTGAACAGAATATCCGGGTTGGCAAGCCAGATGACTTTTTGTAATTTTCTTTTGAGAGATGGTTAAATGCTTTCGGTCATATATATTCTGCTATTTTATAATTTTGGGAGGTGGAAATGGAATGCATTTGTATGAGTGAGTTTTAAAGGTTGTTATTTATCTTTTAATTTTTTAGAGATTTTTCAACAGTCAAGTGGAAGGAGGGGATGCTGTTAGAGTTTCCTTTCTGAGATTCTTGTACCGAATTTCTGAATTGCAGAGAAATTTACATGTAAGGTTGTTAGGATGAACGAAGCAAAATCAAATATTCAAAAATTGTGAACACAATTATGGACGAGAACCACAATTCCAAACGATGTTAATGTGCAAGGAATTAATGTAGGCCATGCAACTTGTTGGGTGTGACGTGTGATGGACTAAGTAACCAATTATCAATGCAGAGATACACATGGTGGATTAATTTTACATTGACGATGTGCAATGAAACCAAGGTATTCACAGTTCATAATATGGAATGGCTGTTTCTCCCCTCAATCCTTCTTCTGTACTGCAGGACTATTAACTACCTATCAGGAGAATTATTGAACTTCTAGCCTTATTGGGGGCAACCAAACATCCCCCAAGTTTCACATGCGGTTATTGCTATCGTCACAGGGTGAGAGTAAAGGGAATTTACCATCTGACTTGTCCCAACTCCCAATTAAGGATCTGCTACTCCAAATTTACCCATCAAATGTTCATAACCGTCCCGTTTATTGTATCCTTTGGGTTGGGGTGCCCTAAAAATTGACATGCTGGACATGGCGTCCAGTTGGGGTTGTTACAGTTATCCATCTAACTGGATTAATTATGACATCGAAGTCTGTTAAGGATTGCTATATATCCAATAAAAACGGATCGAATTTGAATTCGATTAGTAAATTTGATATCCATATTCGATGGATATTAAAAATTAATATTCAAATTTGAATCTGATTAAATATTTGAATATTCGATTTGATTCGAATTTAATTAATTAATTATTTTAGATAATTAATAAATATATAAAATAAATATTTTATTGATATAAAGTATATAAATATATAAATTATTTATATAACTTAATTATTATATATAAATTATATAAAATATTTTATATATTATACATAAGAATTAAATAATTGATCAAATTTGGATATTTATCGAATTGAATCAGGTCATATTCGAATTCCAATCCGATTAACTATTTGGTATGTATAGGATGTCCGAATTCAACCAATTAAATATTCAAATTATTCGAATTCGATTCAACTATATCAAATATCGAATTCAAAACCAGATTTTCGAATATCGTTTTCACCCCTACATTGGTGATCCCATCCGATCCCAATCCCAACTCGAACTTACGTTATCTAAGTTCTTGATTCAAGTTTGACACTTTGGCATATCCAACCCCTTCTGGTAAGGTGCCGTGCTTTTTTAGTCTTTCTTAAATGACTTCTCCCGTGGAACTCAAAAGCCAATTAGCCAATCTTTTAACTTTTTTAGACGGACCTTTTCTGCTTTTAGATCCGATAAAAGCCCTTTTCCAAATGGGTTTTTTTCCCGTACCTTCCAAGAAAAAGCTCATTGAAGAAACACCCTTAACTGACCTTGTGCTGCTGAATTATTTTGGTTGAAGTTTCTACCGTCCTTGAGCACAAATCACCGCCACCCAAGTCTTCAAACCCAATCCGGACTCAACCCCAGTACCACACACATCCAATACTACATGCCCAATATTGTTGGATTGGTGGTCCAAACCCAAGTACCCAAGTACACGCAACGTCATGGGGCTGGGGCGCGCACGGAGATATATGCCTTGTCTTCACAACGGAATCAGAATGAATTCAGCCTTCTGATGAGTGATGACGCTTACATATGCCTTCGTTAGCGCGCCATATGAGGAAGGTTGCTGTCTTTTTGCAACTCTCACTCTCTCTCCACATTATTCTCCTCTGGTTACCATTTCAAGAATTAAAACCGATGTTATTGAATTGGATACTGTAACTCCTCCCCCCTTAGTGCTTTTCTTTGATTTTATTTTTTCAAACTTGGAGGACCCTTTCAGCACCATTTCCCTATCAAACTCAACCTCTTCGTTTATCATTCGCTCACTGACTCTCTCTTTCACATTGGTTTCCATGTCCACCTGCGAGAGAAGAGGTGAAGAAACGATGTGCACGCCGTGGACAATAGCAAGGCTGATGGGATGGCGGCTTCTGGATTGGGCGTCGGGTGTTTTCACTTGCAGGATTCCTTCGGGTAAAGCCAAACTTGATCTGGTTTAAATGAACAACAGCATTGTCCTTGTTTGACTCTTCAAGCATCCTTCTCCATCCCATCTTGTAGACTGATGGATTAAGAAGAGCGGATGGATGCCAATAAACTAGTTTTGGTGACTATGGTGATCTCTTTACCCTGTTGAATCAGGCCGGATAGGATTTCAATATGCCATCAAGAATCGTTTGCAACATTGGTTTGACAAAACAATTCCATCTAATGATCCTAACAATTCAACTTTTCTGATTTCATCCAAAGGGATATATTTTTGGTTGGTGTTTTTGTTTTTGGGTGGCAGGAAACCGGCTCCCCCAGGTCCCACTTTTTGTTTTCAAAGTAAAAGGTGTTTTGAAAATGAAAAGCTCGATAAGCATTTCTCCGAAATATTTGTTATCAGTGATGCTTAGTTTTGAAATTGGGGCCAGGGGCTCTGGTTTAGTTTTGGCTATGAAAACATGATTTTGGATCAAGATCCTAGGTTTTTGCTTCTTCTGGCGAGGATTTGCAAATTTGAATAGAATTTTACCTTACAACTAAGAAAGAAAACTACTGTTACTGTATATTGCATAGCAGAACGTTTTTTTTGGGTATTGAACAGCTACAAGTTAGAACATGGAAAATGATATTAAAGCATCTTTAGTCTCCTTAGTTTCTTCTTCAAAATTCAGACAGTTTTGACTAGATACTTTGATGGTTATTTCCGCCACAGAATTAACATTTCATGTTTTCATTTGGGTCAACATTTTTTTTTTTTTTTTATGGATTCACAGATGACGAACCAGATAATTTCCACCCTTCTGTACCGCCACCACGTGAGCCCGCCGAAACCAGAGTTTCTGAAGCGAAGGATGAGACCCGATACTATGAGATTGACCACGACTCGTTTCTCGCCCACAAACACAACCCAGATGGAAAAGTCCCCGGTTTGACCCCAACTGGAGATTCTGGACAACCGGATAATGAGGTGGACTCACGCCGGCCAATTTTCCGAGAGGAGGACTACATCGTGTTTTGCTTCAGGAAGGATGGAGCCATTCACATCATAAAGGATGAAAGGTCTCATAACCTCGAATGCAGAATTAGACAGTTAAGGACCGTTAACCGTAAGGTTGGTAAAGAACCCAGTCTAAATTTCAGTTTATTTGCATAGATCCAATCTCCAAGTGAAGCTAATCAGCCGGTTACTTTGCTCTTACTTCTAATGTGATATTTTCTTCACGCTCTCTTGGTATCGGAACAGCTTGTTTATGGTGATCAGGATGCGGACCTTGTGGACAAAAACAGCAATGGAGATGTGTTAAATAAAGATGGTGTTGATTTTGAGGCAGCAAGATCAGATGGGAAGGTCTAGTTGTGTACTCTAACAATTCTTTCTGCGCAACATCATCATCAGATGGAATATATGCAATGTTTTGTTGTGGTTACTGCATATTGAATCGTTGTGTTTGCTCTTCTATGGATCTGGTTTTTGGCTTTATAAAGCTGGAAATAAAGAGATTGGTTATTGTTGTGAACAGGGTGAAGATGGAGAAAGTGTTTACTTTGATTCCGAGTCGACAACAGCAGATATCATAGGGGAAGAGCAACGTGACAGAGGTGAAGATTTTAGAACAATATCCCTGGAATCAAGCATCTCTGTTGAATCGGACAGCAGCGCAAGTTCTTTTGCGTTCCCTGTGTAAGTTGGATGAAGTTATCGTCAGCTCCACTAGTTTTGGGTTTTATGAGGTTGTTCTAATTTGAGTTCAGACATGCAGATTGAGGTGGGAGTGGACTGGGAGTCCTGTGAAGATGCCAATGTCGGAGGACATGAATCTAAGGAAGCAGAGGGCCTGGTGTATGGGCCTTCACTGTTGTAGATATTGAAAAGCTTGAAAATTTTCAATCCCTTTAGCACAACCATATAGTTTAGTACTTTATTAGTTTTGTTCCAGTGGTGCTTTCGTTTCATCGTCTTTTCTTCAGTGTTTTGATATGTTCATTTTTCTCTTTCAAAATTAGTGTTGATTCCGAAATCGGAGCTGTGGAAGAAGTCATATGTCTAGAGGGTGTAGAAAGCAACAGTTTATTTATTTTGACAGATTTGGATTTTTCTTGAAGGTCCACGAATTCTTGGTGGGCCTCCAAGAATTCCTTAAGGCCTATATCACTGTCGTCTGGTTATGGGTTGTTTCCCTTTTGCTTCATCATTATTCGATGGCATGAAGCTTGAGGGTGTTCGCCAATATGTATGAATTATGATTTTTTTTAAAAGAATAAGTGCAAAACACTTGTCATTTGCTACATCATCAAACACTCAAGTTAATGAGTGATGAATACCATAAGACTCACACAACTCAACACAACTCCTGCTGGACTATAACTTCATACTACATGATTTTAGTTAGTTCAACTCAATAAGTGCCAGTTCAGCATTGTAGACGCGATTAACAAAAATAAAAAGTTGTTTGGTTGAGCTGTTTATCTGATAAATGGCTCTCTCAAAAACCATGTAAATTGTTTATCAAAAAACATTAAATCTGACATTTTTCATTTTCAAGACCGTTTTTTACTGTTTGGCTTATATGGGACTGATATAAATTGTTTATCAAAAAAACACTAAATCGTACAAAACATTTAAAGCAGATTTTTTGTCTTGTTTTTCAAGACAAAATCGTACAAAATGTTTATTTTATAAACACCATCAATGCCAAACAACCCCTAAATGAGAGACAACATGGTAGCGCTCACTCAATATCAAGAGCTGCCACGCTGAGTAAACTGGTGCTACTGTTAACTGATCGGGTCTGGTCCAGGTCAGGGGTAGATACAGTCCCGAACCAATAAGTAAATATGGAGAACCAGTCCTGAATATAGGGTCTGACAACCAATAAGTAAATATCAGGACTATCATGTTTTCCACTTTTATTTTTTGATATAATACGAGAATAACTAATGAGCTACCCCCCTCCTGAGTTGGCATGTTTCCCACTTTTTGGCATCACCTTCTATGAAGTGAGAGGCTGAGGTTTTCCATCACCATTATATTTTCACACCGTAATAGAACCCATGGTAATATTACGAATATTACAGAAATGTTCCATTGGAGTATTTTAAGACATTGAAAAGAGTTGATGGAAAAAAATGGGGAAAAGCATTTTTATATTGAGATACAATTATGAACAATGACAAGTCAAAGTAACTATTTCACAAGCCCTATGATGGTTTCACATATTTAGGGTCTTGAACCAAAAAAAATCTAAAAAAGTTAAAATGGACAGGCATTTTAGAGGGGGCTCTGTAAACTTGAAAGCTCTTTTCCATCAACTTTCTAATTGTTTGTTTTTGAGAACAAATGATTGAAGATGTAACCTTGCCCTGGCTGCAATAGCAATCGATTCCTCATCTTGTTTTTCTTTTGCAGCAGCGACAGCTGTAATATATGCGCTCCTTGCTTCCTCCATTTTCCCCATATCCATCTCATCCATATCATCCTGTTCAGACCAACTCAGATGTTTTAGTCAAAGATCAAAACCAACTAGAACATTCAGTCTAAACAACCTACTAGTTTTTCTGTTTTGCTTGGCATACATTGGACAACCGAGCATTGAAAATTTTGCTTGCTTCTAAATCACAAGAAGCAATTAGGAAGAAGAAAAATAAAAAGGGGCAGCTCACTTCTTTGTCGATTATGGTTTTAGTTGTATTTGTTCAACCACATATCTTGCTTATTGTTTGTTTTCTTTTTCTCATTTATGAGTTTGTACAATATTTTGCTTCATGATATCATCTCCTAGGAAGCTAAGATACTTGCTTTTGAAAAAACAAATAATGAAAAGGTGTTTTTCGAAATAAATTAAGTGGTCCTACCAGATCTATAAGGCCATAATGTTGTTAATATTAACTTGGTTCTCTTATTCTTCTTTTGTTTTCTATTCGATCGGTTGGTATGGTAGTAGCTCCAGTCTTTGTGATATTTGCTTCTAACTAAACAAAATGGGACTTGTTATGTGGAAAAGATTTAAGGAATCAGTATATGTCTTCAGGTAGCATATGCAATCAAGAATAAATTCTTCACAATAAGATGTTTCCTCTTTTCAGTTGTTCCTCATCTCCCTTCTTTACAGCATCACACAGAAAATAGAGATTGTTATATATGACATTCTATTAAACACATTGAGTTACTCTGGAAACAATTTACATAAAACACTCAAATACCAAGATCTAAATCCCTGTACATATTGAATACCTGCCATTCAATATCCAGCCCAGCACAATCACTTAGGAAATGCTTGTTGGCATATTACCTAAGATTCCGCAAAATGAGCCTACTACATAATTCATAAAATAGACGGAGCAAAGCTGACCATATATGGAAGTGGATTCAAACAATAAAGAGTGATATCATAATCTTCAACATATGCATTGGAATCATTCTTTGTCAAGCCTTCAAATAACAGCATGAATGATGAAATCTCTCCTTGCATGGAACCTAGCTCTTTCTGCAGCTTCTCAACTTTGCTGTTAGATGTCATTGCTTCCCATTGTAATTTTCAAGAGCTGCTTGCTTGTCTGCAAGCTTAATCTGTGGAAGAAGCCAGCTATTAACTGTTGTGAAGTGATTCTGTACAAATACAGACTTTCATGCATGCTCTCCAACAAGCATATACAAAATAGTCAATTAATGGTGTAATCCATATTGTGAAACAAAATCTGAAATTTGAACATAAGCATGCAATGTCTATCCAAATGTCAAATAATGAAGCATACCTCTATAATAAAAAAACAGAAAATATCTCATGCATCAGTACTGGTAATAGGGGGAAAACAAAGGACTACAAACACTACATACCTTGCAAAATCAGGAAGACTGGATCAGAAACTCATGAGAGGGACTGATTAATGAAGTGTCTAGAAAATTTGACTAATTTTTCACAATTATATCTAATGTTTTTTTAGCCAAATCCATATAGTAGGGGCAAGGCTTTGTTGAGTTGAGATGAGTAATGAGTTGAACAATGTTTCTTTCTTTTCTTTTTGATGGGGCGAGGATCAGAAGATGGGTGATAAATTCATTTCACTATTTTTACAATTAACTAGGCAGTCCTAATAAAATCTAGTGTTGCATGACAGAGACATAGGAGTTGTAATCTGTTACAGTCGCTAAAATGTTAAAGTGATTGGTTTGACGTGTTCCATCAGTCTTAAGGCTTTTGGTGTATTGGTCAAGCATGCAACATTTGGTATCTGACTATCTGAGGCTATCACCATGTCTCAAGTTCGAATCATGGAAAGGGCTATCTGGGAGAAGAGCTACCTAGAGTAGAGTGAAAGCCGTCACGGAAACAGCTACCTGGAGCCGAGCAAAAGCCACCACAGGGAAAGGGCTACCTGCTGCTAGAGGTGAATCATCGTGGAAAGAGCTACCTACCGCTAGAGTGAGTGATGTTGTGAAGAAGGCTACCTACCATTAGAGTGAAGCAGCCGAGACAGTGGAAGTGGAAGTGTTGTAGTATTTTATGGTCCTAAATTTTAAAGTGTTTGGCTTGATGCATTCCATCAGTCTTAAGGCTTTTGGCGTATTAGTCAAGCATGTAACAGAATACAACACATCTCCTAAGGGTTTGACTCGGCAAGATGAGAAAACATGGACTCATAGACATGTCTATGAAAAAGTATATGCTATTAAAATAATTCAATTTTTTTGAACCTACAAAAAATGTTGCCTTTGTTAATAAGTGGCATTTAATACCATAGATGGATTAATCTTGTAGGTTAGTTGTTTATTTATGTCAAATAAGTTAGGAGATAAAAAGGAAATGTTATGTAGAAGGGTCCTCAAGAATCCATGGAGTGTCAAGACTCGGACACGTGTCCAAGATGACATATCATCCATTTAGGAGGTTACATGCAACACTGATAAAATCAGGAATCAGGAACCAGGAACTCACTGCAGTAAAACATTTATCTTTTTTTTCCTTAAGAAAATGGGGAAAAATGAAGAATCATAAACTCATCAGAACATAAACTTGCTGGAGTCCATCCAGTGATTCAGAAATATGAATGTTTCTTTAAATAAAAAATGCCTGATGAGTAAATACTGAAACATCCAGTCTTCGCATCATATATTTAATATTTCTCATATAATTCAAACAAGTATGAAGCCTATTCCTACAACTTCAACTACTCATCTTAAGTTGGATTTCTACTGTAATTAGGGCTAGTTTCTGGAGTGTTCATAGAGAAAAGTATCAAAACTAGACAGGTTATTATCAGCAGTGGCTGGTATGAAGAAAGCCTTTTATCTTTGATACACTAGAAGAGAAGACAAAGTGCAATTTTGGCATTAGGGCATTGAACCCAGTTATCTCCAGGTTCTGCAACCTAGTTGCCCCATAGTAATCACAGGTGTAACTAGTGCTAGGAAATAAAGTGAACATATAACTACTGGCAGGAAAAAGGAATAATGAATGTTCATTCTTAAAATGCAAGAGAATCATAAACATACCTTTGCATCAGATAGTTGTGACTGTGCAGTTTTAATCAAAGAGTCCTTTTCTGCCATCTGACGTCTAAGTTCATCAAGTTTTGCTTGAACTGCAGTCATTTGGTGCTTTGAATTCTCCTCCAATTTCAGAAGCTCATCTTTCTCTAATAATTTCTTCTGTAGCTCCTCTACTTGTTTCCTCAATAACATCAACTCTTCCCTTTCCCTTTCTGCCACCAGTGACTTTGATGAGAAAATTGACAAGTCATCAGAACATGCATCTTGGCTAGCATTTTTGCCAGGTCCCTTATCCCCAAAGTCCCTTGGTTTTTTAGTTGAAATAGATTGAGCTGCTTTCCTACCTTTCGGTTCACCAATCTGTAAATGATTGACAACCAATGTGAACATCCATTTCCATAATCAGGAGATCATAATTGTGAACATTGAAGCCTCCACTCCAGATATGACTAAAATAGCAAAATGATTCGATCTACCGATCTAGAGCTGACATAGCATAGAAATATAGAATATAGACATTAAACAAGACAATAGCTCCAACAGAAAGGTTAGCATTAGAAGTCCACTTAATTGTCAGTGCCAAGTGATAAGACTTTGCCAATTTGTATGTTGTAGGTTGTTGCCTTATACATGGACTGCAGATCTTGCTCATTTACTATCTTCATGAAACATATTTGTTGTCTTTAATCTAGTGGACTTGGTATTCGTCTATTAGACTCTAATACTTTTTTTTCCCTTGATTATAAATCATAAAATTGCTTAGAATCAGTTCATAATCCTTAGTCCTTATACAGTTAACGCACATCCAGCAGCATAATAAATCATGTCAGAAGGAGTAGAACATAAAAGAGAACACATGTAAAACACAAAGCAGATGTCACCCATAAAATGGGATGCTTCAGGTTAAAATTGTAGAGCACCTATATTACAGTATAGAGAAACCATAAAATTAGCAATTATATACAGAGAAACCATAAAGAAACACCAATGATCCATACTTCAAATATCATCACTAAATCAACAGTGAGAGCAATACTTATGACTGAAACGGCACATAAGTTCTCCGCACTTCTCTAGAAAAGGTTCAAAATCTATATTCCCATTTGGTTAATTTGACATAAAAATAAAAAATCCAAACGAATTTATATTCCCATTTGGTAAATTTGACATACAAATCGAAAATCCAAATAAAAAATCTTACTTTTTTGGTATAAGATTCTCTGCAAGGCGTCTTTGTGTAGACTAACGACGCACGACGTGTGAACGAAGTATTTGCTCTCCGGTCCTGAACAAATAAAGAATGAAAATTAATATATAAACGGAACGCAATTTTTACAAAATGGAACAAAATTGAGCTAAAAATGTTTCTCAAAAATCTAACGCATAAAAGAAAAAATGAAGAAAAATAAAAAAATCAAATGCACATGAAGATCCCTTTGAAGCATCAAAGTAATGAGCTTACCATGAGAGACTCAACAAGCGGGACCATCTCGACGAGGTTCTTGTAGAGTACTTTGTCAACATTGTTGTTACTTCCATTTCCATTAGAAAGGGAAGAGTTAGCTCGTTTGGAGAGGAGGGGAGATGAGTGATCTTCTCGCGAAAGCCATGATTTTGGGTCCCCAAAGCCTTCCTGCAGGTCGACAAAATGCTGTTGCTCGAACATTTGCTCTGAAGATCGATTTAGCTCTAAAGAAAACAAAGAAACGCTAAAGAGCTCGAAAAATGCTCTCTCTTTCTTGGTAACACAGCAAGGTTTGAAACTTAACAGAGACTTCGCTTCTAGATCATGACTTCCTCCTCTTTCTCTCTATTTCTGAGGACAGAGATTTTCAATACTCAAGCAAGAAATGATTCAGAAGGAAGTAGAGGTCATTTTAAACATCTCTGGTTTTAGATTAAATTACTGAACTGCCACTAACCTCACTTTATTCAAAACCAATTGAATTCTGACGACATAAAAAGTCCCAACTCCCACGTGGCACCAAAGATGGCCTCCCGCCTGCATCCACGAGTACATTTCCTTGTTACTTGCGAGTCCCTTACGTGACAGATGGCGCAGCCAGATTGTCCTGCGGGATTAGCCACGTGTCTAATCCGACGTCCATGTCATATCATAGCACTCCTGTTGTTCACTCTTCTTCTTCCTGGATTTCCCATTTCTTCTTCCCAAAGACAACTTGAAAAACCGCATGCACCATTTTGGGTATTAAGTCGAAGTTCCATTGAAAACTTAACTAAAAAGCATGGACCCTACGACGTTTCATAATTCTTGGGTTTCAAACCTAACTACAAAAATTTATGGGATATTGGAAACAGCCCCACCTCTAACCTCTTTTGTCCAAATTCCAAACAAACTACATTTGCTACAACAGTGCCCTACCGCTGCACTGAAACAACTATCAAAAAGCTTTGATGTGTTGACATTCACCAACCTTAAATTAGATAAGGTCATAAGACAGTGTCGTAGCAAAAGTAAATTCAATTCCAAACAGAATACTATGGTCATTTTACATGTTTTTCTTTCTTTTACTGTAGGTTGAGCAAGATGATCAAGTATGTGTTTGATTTCGTTTGTGTTTATTGAATAAATATTTATACTTTATTTGTTGATAAAACTGAAAATGCAATAATTGAAACTGTTTATAACAACTAGGTACCACTTCGGGTGAATAAACGCCTGCCTAATCATTTGTGGAAGCTTCAAAAAATAACCTAATATGCACATAAAACAAAATTCATTTTTTATATTTTCAATATATACAAAAGAGTAATAGAAAAAAATATTAAGATGACACCTATGTGACACCACCAACAAACATTTACTAAATAAACATAAATGGAACCAAACACCCCTGCAAAATAACTTATATGATTGTCTTCTTTCTCTTGACAGATGGCCAAGTTTCAGTTATATAGACACATTGCCTCATGGCAAGTAAAATTCATTTTCGACAAAGCTTGAAGGACAATTACGGCAAATGGTATCCGGCCCAAAAGGCCCAACTCCTCTTCAATCTCAAATGATTGGGTCTGAAAGACGACAAAGAGTTACGTGGCCTCATAACTTCTGACATGGCTTCATTGGATTGGAAATTGGAATCCACTATTTGTCTGGTAGTCTTTTTAGTTTTTTCATTATTGCAGCCGGTGTGATTTCGTTGCATGAACTCCAAGGCTCTAATGATATGAGTTGTTAACTTGTTAATTGTCATACATAACAGGTGAACTGTTAATTAATTTAGTGACTATATCTTTGGTTATTGTCTAATATTATTCTTACTGTTGTTTATTATTGTGTAATACTATTTCTACTGTTTTTGATTATTGTCTAATATTAGCATCCGTTAATATTTCGTCAATATCCGTTAATACTAATTTTTTTTTTTTTTAAATCAATATTACCCTCGTTCCCTTCCTCTCGACCGGCACCCCCTTCCTCTACCTAAGCATTTAAAGCTTGCCAAAGTTGCTAGGAATTTCAGCGGTGATACAGTGAAGGCAGCATCACCAACAAAGAGACGAAAGAAAGCTAGTTACCAAAGGAGATGAGTATGTTGTTTCCTTCGAGCTTTATACATCCGAAAGAACTGTATTCGAAGAGCAGAGAGGCCATTTGCATCTTCAACAACAGTTGAGGCAACAACTGAGCTCAGGTTTGATGTGGTATTGCTCTGCTCATTCTTTGCAAATTTCATCGACGGTAAAACTGATATTTCATCCCTTCCGTCGATATTTAAGGTTAATGGTAATTTTCTGAAACAGTAAAGATAAGACAATAGTCAAACAGTAAAAATATATTTAGTCAATTAGCTAAAATAATTTAAAAAAATTGCCATTTTTATTTTTATTTTTTGTAAGTGTAAGTGTGGATCCATCTAAAATTCCGATCCATGACTTGCTTTAGTATTCTGCATACTTCTCTTATTTTTAGGGAATCAAATGGATAGGGTTAAAATGAGTAATTAAAAATTGCAGTATAGCGCTTTCCAAACTCACCGTTTTGACCCACGTACAATCAGGGATTTGAGATGCGCTGATGCCAAATTGCCAACTCCCTCTACACGACGAGAAAAAAACTTTGTAGGTACAATCGCTTTTAACGGTCCACGCCCCCTTGTTTTCCAATGTTGAATTTAAATCCACCGTGAAATGAAATTGGGTGATTTATGATTGTACCTACTACAACTACAATTCAATAGGAGTGAAAGTTCTCTCACAAAAGCCATATTGGATGTGCATATTCAGTTACAAAAGGCTCAGCATGAAAAGACTAGGAATATAAATATATAGAATGCAAAATCTTGTGTATTTTATATTATTTTTTATACATATTTATATTTATATTATATTCCTTCCACACTGAGCCAAACATACAATCTCTATCTCACCCTAAACAGTTAGGTTTTAATGAGCTGAATTTAACTATATATGACTTTAATTAGACGCTGCATAGCGTACCCTTTAAACCGTTGAAAACGGTAAAAGGTGAATTTCAGCTGTTTTTGTTCACATTTGAAAATCTATTTGGATAATAAAGTACATACATGAAAAGATAAACTTAATTGAGACGATGAAGGATACAACAAGGGAACAATAAGATCAACAAACACAACTAACTTCTAACACCATGGACCCTAACAACAGTAGTAAGACGAAACTGAACGACACAGTAATAAATCTAAAAAAACAAAACACAAGGAGGAGGTTAAAAGTTTTAGCACGTCTTTTAACAAGATATCCTCCAAAAAGAGTTCACCATTAATTTGTAGAACAGCACTTCTGTACTGCCATGTGTGTAGGTGTAGGTAGAATCATTTCCTCTAATCGGCACACAAGAAAAGGAAAACACCAAAGCCTTGTTTGAGAATACCCAGCAAGTCTTTAGCCTTAGCTTAGGCTAAATGTATATGCTTCTGCTTCAATATAGGCGAGGGTATTGAGCGCGAACCAATCTTGGCCACAAAACTCCCAATCTCCCATTGTAATTAGGGGGCCCAGATTTCCTACACACTTTTCCTATCCACCGTGAATTCGAGCCACACATCTTTCATTGAGAGATGTGGTAGAAAGTTGGTAGGAAATCCCGAGTGTTGTAAAGTACACGCTACAGCATCCATATCCTGCTACTATCTTTCCTTTACAGTTTAAGACCATCTATCTGCAGCGAGTTCAGATCTCCTGCCCACAAAAATCTTATACACGTCTATTCACATAATATTACAACTGTACATTGGAAACATCTCCCCGTGAAATGGTCACATGTAGATATTGAAGATGTTTCCAATGTACATCTGTAGTATCATGCGGGCAGACATGGATAGGATTCTTGTGGGCAGGAGATTCGGAGTCATCTGCAGCACCTCTTCATCCAATGGTAACCAAAAAAAGATTGGGCGGCTGGATCACTTCCCATTTTGACAGAGCTCATAGATTTTCTCTCCACAACCTAACAAAAGTATGCTTTATATGGGTTGGCCCGATTTAGCATTTTACGATTACACTGCATGGGCCTCAACCCTTTGGCCAGATTCATTCAAATTTTGACAAAAGCCCAACACCTAAGCCCGCCGCCCAATTGAGGGCTTTTGTGTGAAATAACTATTCTTTATACAAATAATAACAATTACTCTATGCAACTTACATGTTAGATATAAGGGACATTTTTCTTTTTAATTTCTAATTTCAATTTAAATTTCCCTAATAAGTGATTGTGAACAATGTACAATAGACTTGGCCATGTTTGTTTAACTCAAAATTTTGGGCCTTAATGGATCGGAATGAACTCGACTAGTAGATTTTGACAAACCACCCAGAAAGAAAATTACAAGGTAGAGAGATTCGCAACATTGTAGTAAACCAAACTTGAGCTCATGAAGCTAGAGGTGTTGAAGCATGAATCCTCACAATCCAAGAACCATGTATTACTCAAGAGTTCTACGGACACTACTAAGGTCACAAATTTTCTTACCCACTAATCAAAGCAGCAAAATAGCTTAAAAATGTGAAGTTTAAATGGCCAAAATCACTTAACTTTGATAGATTTCATAATTGCTTTGTTCTATGCCCAACCTTGGGCTTAATGCTGGCTCAAACCCTCGATTTTATTCCCAATTTATACAAGTCATATAAGGTGGCTCGCTATTATATATAAACCTCGAAAATAAGTGTTTATTGAATAAGTGCTTATTTGAATAAACACTTATTTATATTTGGCATTCAACTTTTTTAAGTGCTTATCTTAAAAAATAAGCACTTATTTTATATTGGGCGTTTGGTAGTCTTTTTCTCCAACAAGAATTTAAATAAACATATGTGATTATTTTGTCCTTTATTTTCTTTCAAAGTTTACGAAAACACTTTTATGAAAGTATTTTTATAGATGCATTTTTATGAAAACACTTTTATAAAATCACTTTTATGGAAATACTTTTATAAAAGCACTTTTATAAAAGTATTTTTATGAAAGCACTTTTATTCAAATAGGGATAGTTTTATAAGTGGTATTTTAAAATTCAACTAGAGATAATTTTAGAAGAAAAAAATTAAATAAGTGCTTAATAAGCACTTAGGCCTTGTTTGATGATTAAGTGGTTGTTAAAAGAAGTACTTATTGCCAAATCATTTCTTAGAAGTACTTATTTTAACAATCACTTAAGGTTGTTTGGTGATCCACTTGCCAAATCACTTATTATGTTTTTAAGCACTTATTGGGGTGGGGATGTTTGGTAAGATACTTTCTCCATAAGTGTTTATATTAACACAAATAACAATTTTAGCCATCACTTCACTCATACATATATACAAACATACCAAAAAAAACACCAAACATGGAGGG